AAGAAAAAAGATTGGAACGCGCGAGACTCGAATAAAAATTCCTCTGATCGGTAATAGCGTCGTTGTGTTAAATTAAAAAAAAAAAAAGAAAAAGAAAAAAAAAAGAAAAAAAAAAGAAACTCGTCGATTATAAAACCAGCACAATTATTTATATTCATTTAATTAAATTCGCTACAATCGTAGTCATCGTCGTCAATTTATCAACCCTTCCCCGTCCACCCCGTCCACCCCATTCCCAATTAATAATATATCGTAATTTGTTTGACGTAAAGATATTTTCTTGTAACGGGGGTAAAGAAAAAAACAAAAAAAAAAGAAATAAAAAATGAAAAAAAAAAATAAAAGAAGATAAAAGAGAATTAAAAGAAAAAACATTGTAAACACCACCTAACATCTACTACGAAAGAAAAAGTTCGTTTAATCGTAGCGTTAATCTTTAAACACGATAAAGTAGCAATGTCCGGATTTTCAAGGCTTGATGAGCAAAATCGTTTGCTTCCTGCGTGGCGCCATCCGAGCGTGAAGGGGTTAATATTACTTAGCGCCTACGCGTTAGTTCTTCATCTCTCTTTCCCCTCTTTCCCCTCTTTCCCTTTCCCACTCTCTCTCTCTTTCGCTTTTTCTAAAACGGTAACTCTAACTCTCACTCTTACTCTCACTCTCACTCTCACTCTCGTTCTCGTTCTCGTTCTCGTTCTCGTTTTCCCTTTCTTTAAACTTTCCTCCTTTCCCCTCATTTCTTTTATTAGAAGACACAATATAATTACGATTAATGATTTTATTAGTTATAATCATTTTCAAATATTTTTCCACCCTTTTCAATAATTCTTGGGATATATATCTCATCTCTGGGGGATTTATTTATTGATTTTTCTTTCAATCGAAGTGTATACATTTATTTAATTGATTTATTTATATATATATATAATATCTATAAATATGTGTTACGCGTTCATTATTTACAAATTCATCATCTTTTGCATTTCTTCTTTTTTTATGTTACTGTTATTTTTTATTCTTCCGTTTTTTTGTCTTTTCCCGTGATTCTTCTTCTTCTTTTTTTTATTTTTTTTCATTTTTACCTTCCATATCCAGAATTTTTGCTCCTCCCCCCATATTTTTTTTTCTTATCGCGTGCGTGTATTCATCATCCTTTAGGGTTTTCTTCTTTTTTTTTTTCTCCTTTTCTTGTTCTATCGTAAAAGAATTTCCATGATTTTCGTTCGGGGAAAGCTCGGTCGATTCGGTACTTTAACGTGTAGACAATTTTTTTTTCTTTTCTTTTTTTTCTCTCTCTCTTTCTGTCTGTCTGTTTGTCTGTCTGACTGGTCTGTCTCGATTTTATCGCGACAATTGAAATTATGTATTTCCTTCTCTTTCTTTTTCTCTTTCTCTCTTTTTTGTTCTTCCTTCTCTTTTTCTCTCTCTTGTATTCTTCCTTTCTCTTTTCCTTTCTTTTTCACATTTACCATGATATATATTATGTTCAGTCTTGAGAGTATACACGTAGGTATAAAGGGTAACATTACGACGAATCGTATTTGCGTAATAAAAAGATATGAATATTTCCTTCTATCATCTTATTGGAATTTTTTTATTTGTAGAATCGTTCGAATACAAGTATACAATAATAATAATAATAATAATAATAATAATAATAATAATAATAATAACAACAACAATAACAATAATAATAATAAAACCGTACGTTCATTTTTCTTCTTTTCCTTTTTTTCTTTTTTCTTTTCGAATTAAATCAAAACGATGCAACGAATAACGCAGTATGACGTTCGTTAAGTACACAATCGGGGTTGTGTTCTGCATTTGTTTATTTTATTTATTCTCAATTAATTTTATTTGTTTAATTTTTATTTTACGAATATCTTTGCGTTTTCATTTCATTCGTTTTTTCAACTTCCCCCTCTCCCCCACTCTATCTCTCCCCCTTTCCCCGCCAACCCTTCCTTCCTTTTTCACGCATTTAATTAAGTTTTTACTTTTTATTTTTACTCTTTTTTTTTTAATTCTTTTTTTATATCCTTCGTGGATGGTCCTTTCTTAAACGTTAATACTTTCACTCGTTTTCAAAAAGTCTCTTCGGTTTTGTTTGTTTGTTTGTTTATTTGGAGTTGTTTTTTTTTTCTTTTTCTATTTTCTTTTTTTCTCATTATCATTTTGTTTCTTTTTTTTTTTTTTCAGAGGTTTAAAAAATCTTCCTCTTTCCTTTTTTTTTTTTATTAAACAACATCGAAGGCCTCGCGAAGTTAACGAAGGGTGGTTTTTTCGTCGTCGAACGTTTAACGATTTTACAGCGAAGAATTTTCTCATTGGTATTTTATTATGATATTATTATAATAATTATTATTATTATTACTATTACATTTAATAACGATCGATAGGAAAATTGCAATTAAGATTGTTGTTAATACGGATGATTTTGAATTTGCAAAACATTAACGATACCGTATTTCTATAGCAATGCGTAATACGAGTAGAAATCATTAGATTTATGTATTTGCGTATTATTATTATTATTATTATCATTACTATTAATATATGAATATATTATTATTATTATTATTATTATTATAATTATTATTACTATCGTTATTATTATTATTATTATTTTTTTTTTTTCTTTTTTTTTTCTTGCAGCGTATCAACGAATTTTGTTCGCCGATAAAACAATTTTTTTTCACCATTCAATTACTTTAGATCATTTAAATCTCTCATAGAACGGTTGTTAACAAATTTAGGAACTTCTCCACGTAAAATACGTTAAAGTATTTTTTTCACGTTTATCACGTTTCCCCCTTCGATCTTGATCCTTGATGACTCGGATAACATTAATTATTTTCGTTTTTTAAGAAGGTAAAAAGGTTATGGGAAAAATTGGAAATATCCGTAATTATCACGAATTAGTAAAACGCGAGTTGAAGAGGAGAGTGTAGTGGGGTAGAGGGGGAGAGGAGGGTTGGGGAAATGACAATATTCATTATAATACATATTATTATGTACGCTTACATAATTGTGTATATTTTAACTATACACTAAAATTTTTTATTCGAATCACTCGCCGAAATGTTTACACCGTATTATCGCGAATGTACGAAGAGTTGCTTTGTATAATTAATTAATTAATTAATTAATTTACACGTTAGTGTCCGGTATTTCAACTTTCTCTTTCTATCTTTCTCTTTGTTTATATTTCTTTTTCTTTTCTTTTCTTTTCTTTCGTATATATTTGTTAGTTACAATTCTATTATAATATTCGACACGTGTGTATGTATATGTATATGGCATACGCGATATCACACCAACGAACGTCCATCGATGATCGTAAGATCTTTTTCTCGCTGATCTATAGATCACGACGACTTCGTCATAAGCGAGCAAACACACTCATCTTCCTCCTTCTTTCCTTCCTTCCTTTCTTTATTTCTTTTCTTTTCTTTTCTTTTCTTTTTTCTTTTTTACTTTTCTTTTTCCGCTTTTTTGTTCTAATTTACGACGAGCAACGGAATGAACGAATTGCGTTTGCCGGAACGAGAGATTTTACACTTTCAATTGTCATACTTTTTTAATGACCTGTTAGTCTGAAAGTAGGTTCGTTAAAAATTAGAAAATGTACGATGAAAAAATTGTCGAAGAAAAATTAGAAATTAACAAAAAAAAAAAAAAAATTAGAAGATTAGAAAATGAGATGGGGAATGATTTATTTGAAATGACATTGTAATTTCAAATTAGTTATCATTTAGATATGCAAATTTACGAATACAATTTGATACACGCAACACACGAATTTTTTTAATTGATAATAATAAAAAGGAAATTATATTACGTATTGATAAGAAAGACAATTTTTTAAACGATCACATTAGTGTCGATCAAAAATCATTTCTATGGAAATTTATCGACGTTGATTCAATATTATTGTATCAAAAACAAAATTTAAGAAATGATTCAAATTCATTATCTCAACACACATTTCCAAATACTTTATTAATAAAGTAAAAGTAAATTAAAAGTGACTTATCAGATATTAACAAAAAAAAAAAAAAAGGAAAAAAGAAATTTAAAACAAAGTGTGTTGTTAATCGCAAATAAGGAAAACAGTTTGATGAAAACATTTATCGTAATTTTGTAAATTTTCAACAAAACTTTTTAGTTTTATAGTTTTCTTTATCAAAAAAATATATAGGAAAAGAAGAATTTTCTCTCTCTCTTTCTATATATATATATAAAGAAAAAAAGCGATAAATTAGGCATTGGAAAAGTTAGAAAATATTTTCGAGAGAAGTGGTGAGAAACGAGAAATGTTCTTCTAAAAGAACCACCACTACCACCAACTCCCCATCTTTCGTCATTTCTTTCTTTTTTTTTTTCTTTCTTTCTTTCTTTTTCTCTTTTCTCCCTCAGACGGTGATTTTCTAATAGTTTTATCGGAAAGGTCTCCTCGTAACTTCTCGTTTCGGCAACTCGTCGTACGATTTTCGACGTCGTATAGTCTGGCTTTGCATCTGGCAAAGTTTCAAACTCCTATGTCCTCGCAAACACTCGCCAACTAAATTTTCTAAATACGTACGTGCTTAGTAATGCCACTAACTCGACTCGGGTTTTCTTTTCTTTACACTACTTTTTTCACTTAATTTTCGTTTCATTTAGTTTAGTTTACTTTAGTTTCGTTTCGTTTCGTTTCGTTTCGTTTTATTTCATTTCGTTTGTCGGAGTTTAGTTTTTCCATTAATTTTGCTTTTTATTATATTTATTTATTTATGTTCTTTTTTTGTCATATATTGTTTATTTTAAATATAACCCTCGAGACCTGAGTTTTAACACTGACCGACGATACGTTGTTTTTATTTTATTCTATTTTATTCTATTTTATTTTATTTTATCTCTTCGACACTTTAACGATAAAATTATTTCGTCGAAAAGATATCGCGTGTGTCTATTTTCTAATAATAATCACTAATTTCTCTTTCTCTTTCTTTTTTTACTTTTTTTACTTTTTTCGTCCAATCCATTCTAGGATTCGTCCTCGATTAGGACGAATAGGGCAAAACAAAAAGAAAATTTTAATAAAAGCGTATTATCGCGCGTTAAACAACACGTCGTCCTTTATTCGCGTTTCCCCCCCCCCCTCAACCGATTTCACTGTCTCGAGGATGAAAAGGAGGAAGAGAAAATCGTTTTGTTCGGATACACCAATCGGGAAGGCTCTTCTTTCGGAAACAGGAAATGATTTTTATTTCTTTTTTTTTTCATTCATTCTTTCTTTCTTTCTTTCTTTCCTTCTTTTTCTTTTTTCTTAGGCGACTAATATGCAGAACACGAGGATCAACGTCAACGATGGCATCAGCATATTCGATGAAGCTACTTTTGAGTTTGTATCTTGGTGGGTCTTCACCGATGTATCTGTAACACGAAAACAATATTTTTTTTCCTTTCTATTATCTTTCATTAATAATTTTCTTTTTTTTTCATCGATAGAAAATAATAATAATAATAATTAATATAATTCTCATATTTTTTAATACACGGTGCGAATCATCGAAATTGAACGATTGTTTTTCATTTAAATTGATTACTCTTCTCTTTCGCGAGAGACTTTTTAAGGTGATTCGTTTTTTTTTATTTTTATTTAAAAAGAAAATAGTTATTGATTTTTGCAATAGTTTAGAAATTGTTGACATACATTAGCCTGTAAGTTCTTCGTAAGTTTTGAAGTCATTTGAAAAATCAATTATTTTCTATGAAACTTTTTCAATTTAACACGTTGTCACCGGTGACCTCAACACACAACCAATAATAAAAATACATAATTAGAGTAAATATCGATACTGATAAATTGTTAAATAATATCATTATTTTTATAAAGGTTTGAAAAAAATGATGATATATAAAAGAACATGAAAAAATAATTTTATAATTAAAAGATAAAATTTGGATGACACGTAACGACATTTTTTTCTCTACGTAATTGCTTGATAAAATTGATTAATTTAATATTGAAACCCGTTGAATGAAAATAATAAGATAGTCAACAATGACTGCCGATGTTACTATATTTTTGTATATTTAAATTTGAACAATCAACAATCGAGAATCTCTTTTACCGTACGACAACAAAGAGAATTATGCATATATTATATTATATATAACCGAGTCCATTAATTAGGTCAACAGGGTGTAAGTAAATTCAAATGATATCATTTGAAAGAGATTTGATAAAAATGAATATAATAATAATAAATAATAAATTACCTGGCGTAGTGGGTCCCATTCCTGATCCAGAGATTTCTTCATCATCTCTATCGTCATTCGTCGAATCTTCGTCATCGTCATCCATAGTGTCACCTTTTTTCCTCCAACCAGGTCTGTCACCACTTCCGGAACCATCGTGAGCTTCTTCAGCAAGCGGAGTTCCTCCGTCCGGTGCCAATGCCAACTGCGACTGCACTATCTGTGGTATTCCAAACACAATAAAAACTATATATATATATGTATATATATGTTTGTGTATGTATGTATTGTATACAAAGAAGGATCAACAGAAAATACTCTGGGAATATAACCGTAAATTTAACAGATCTGCGATTTATCAAAGTCGGATTAACTATGAAATAGGATTAGAATTCGCAAAAGGGAGAATAAAAAAAAAAAAAGAAAAGAATAAAAACTAAAAACGAAATACGATTTCATTTAAAACTTCATGGTTAGGCGTTATATGAATTTATTCCTATCGAACTGTTCTTTTCTAACTTTACGATTGGATCTTTTATCAGTCCTTACTCTTTCTTTCGAATTACTCTAACAGTAAGTCAAACAGTTTGTGTTAAAAACATTGTTAATAGTAAAATATGTATTAAAGGGATATGTCCAAATTCCCTTTGATACATATTTTAGTATTATAGTTCTGGACAAGATTTTCAATTAAATTAAATTGTTAATAGTATGTGGATTCAATGTTTGTATAGATTTAGAATCTTACAATCTGAACAAATGATATTCTTCTATTCAAAAACAAAAAGAAAAAAAAATTATTGAAATATTCGAATAAAATTAAAGATAGTCTAAAATGAAAAGATAGTCATCCAAAAAAAATCTGAGATTACAAATGATCGGAGGTATGTAACACGTGTTAGATGGTATCATCTATATTTTCCGGTCATAGTAGATCCATTAATCTTCTTCAATTAACAGGTGATATCGTTTTAGAATTATTGATCGATCGAAACCCGATAGGACAAAGCGAAAGGACAACAACAATAATAACAATAACTAGGACATAAACGGTTAATGATTTATCTAGTCTTATCCAAACAGTGGTTGGCTTAGTTGGTTGGTACATCTAATCTAACGATTAGATGATTAACGTGAGTTGGCGTATAAGCCAAACGCAGTGTTAAGAAATGTCATACTCGATTTTACTTTCAGTCAATTCTGGCACCTGTCCGTTGTCTTTTTCCGTTCACCTGTCGAGCACGATCGAGGTTAACGACAAAAGTCCTATGCTTGATATCACCCACGCAATATTTTCGCACCTATATCACGCACGAGCAAACCCTTGCCAAATTTTACTTCTTAACATCGAACGTTTCAATGCAATACGCGTTCTACAAATAATAATAATAATAATAATAACAAGTTTATTTCAATGATATTTTAATGTCCTCTATTTAATTGCGTAATCACGATCAATTGCGTTTAATATAAAAACTATATAATTGCGAATTGTTTTTATAACAACTTTAGATATATATATATATATCTGTGCTAAAATGAAAATATTCTAAGTTTTCGATTAATCGGTAATATCAAATAACGAAGCAAATACTGTCCCTCTAGCATAATTTTATACTGTTTTGGCAACTGAATGATTGCGTATTTTAAATAAAGAAAAATTCCAAATCTTTGCTTAAAAATATAACTTCATTTAATTAGATACCGTCCGTTTTTGTCGATGATCTTTCGCCATCGTTCAGATAGTGTTACAATTTCACGTTCATCAAATTTCTGATCTTTGTTATCAACAATTGGAATTAAAAATGTGATTTGTAAAGATCACTTAGTTGTCAACCAATAGTTCAAATAATTAAATAAGTTGTACGGACGGTACAAAGTCTTAGTGTACTAATTCGTAATTGATTGAGAACACGTTGAACTTGAGATTAAACTATAAATCATATTAACCCACAGTGTGATTAGAAGCTAAGGTAACTAAAATTTGAAGAATACAGCAGGACCTCTTTCTTATAAAAAACATATTCCTTGGATTGATAAATCTTAATTCTAAAAGATTCGGTCATGCCACCCTGACAGCATCAGTTCCCGTTCGATCACTAAGTCGAGCAACGTTGGGCACGGTTAGTACTTGAATGGGTGAACCACTTTTTAGGAATACCGTGTGCCGTTGACGCCAAGACTCAGTCTAGTTAACATCTAGAGCTGGTCCTAAGCTTACATAAAAAGGAGAGGGTTCAAGGATGAGCCTAGCAACCTTACCCTACCCTCGGTAAAAACAATTAATCGCTCCTAAAAATAGCAATAAAAAAAAGTTATTATAAGAGGACAAAGTCTTAATAAAAAGAGGAAGAAGAAGAAAAGATTCAAGGATTAAAGGGGGGAGGAGGAAGATGGTAAAAGTATGGTGAAAAAAGTGAGTTTGACGGGGGGCGTCGATCCTGTACGAGTACGGATAACGAAAACACAGGATGTAAGCTGCACGATTCAATCCGAGGCAAGCAAGGCTGGCCAAGGCTAAACCGACCGACAAATTACACTTTATGGACTCACCTGATTAATGTGCTTCAATTGGTCAATGAGTACGTTGGTGTGTTCGTATTTAATACGAGGCAAGGCTGCCCAAGACTAAACCAACCGTCGACGACGAATTACACTTTGTGGACTCACCTGATTAATGTGCCTCAATTGGTCAATGAGTACGCTGGTGTTCGTATTGCCGTAGGAAGCCGTTGACGATACCGTTGTCACTGTGAATTCTGGATTGTATCTCTGAGCACTTAAACTCGAGTCGACCACGGTCTTCGAATATCTGAACAGACAAATCAAGTGACATTAGGACGAGTTTAGATTTCAAATAGATCAGATATGCTTATTGCTACTTGAGAAATTCATAGGCAACGAAGGCCGTTATGCTAATCGGATAGATTACCAAATAGATTAGCTGAACTTGCGATTGTGCATCAATATGATTAGAGTACATATATATATATGATACAGAGTTAGAAATTTTCTATTGAGATTTTTGTGGAGTATTGTCGCGGATTACAAGTTTAAATATTTTTTTTCTACATTCCATACATTTTTCTATTACATCATTAGGCAGAAACAAAAAATCATTCCGGGGATACTTATCAGACATTTTACTTTTTGTATAAACTTTTTATAAGACTCACCCTTACCCCCTACCCTCACCCCACCGATAGTAATTTTCGAAAATAGTATTTATGAGAAAGTGGGATATACATTTTTTTTTGTTCGAACCGTCAAAAAAAGATTCAGACACTTTTCAAACGTTAGTCGATAAAACAACGCGTGTCGAAAGAAGGCAACCAAGGAAAGAAGGAAGGAAGGAAGGAAGGAAACAAGCAAGCAAGCTTCCTTCGTCTCTGCTTGCTGGTATTTATGAGAATCGTAACGATGGAGAATCGTTCGAAGAAAAACGATGCGAGAAAAGCCGTTCCGATTCATTGGCTGCTCGTTGTAATCTTCTGTTGTACTCTGGTGTTGCGTTGGGGTGTTCAGAACAAAAGAGAGTAAAACTCAACTTGTGTATTTCTCGGAACACGTCTCTCAGCTTATCGTTTATGCGTTCCGATCATTCGTCGAACTTGTTACATGTGTGTTCGATAGGGGGAAAAAAAACAAAACAGAAAAAGCGAAAGAATTTTCATTTACAAAACGAACCCCGACGCGATATGTTATTATAATCGAAAAAAAAAAAAAACATGGAATAAAATCACAATAACAGATATTCAGGATTTACGATGAACGTAAAGTGAATCTCAGAATTGTTATTTTCATTTGAAAAATTATATTACTCGTTGTTTTAATCGAAGATTTTTCAGGCTCGTATAAAAATTAATTCGAAAACAAAACAAAACAAAGAATACAATTATTAATGTTTCAAACAATAATTTGTGTTAAAAACGTAGAACTATTCGATAAAAATTCATCAATCGAGTTAATACGGTAGACGATTGAACGAACTTTTTTTTTTTTAATGTTAAAAAATGATCGAAATGATGCAAAATGATTTTAGAAAATTTCTCGTCTTTTCTTGTCGATAGAAAAATAAGAGTGTGTGAGAATGAGAGAGAGAGAAAGAGACAGAGACAAAGATAGAACGCTGGAAAGAAAAATTGATGGCTATTTAAAGAGTAACGAACGTATTCCCTCTGTGGTGATTCTCCTATCAAGACTTTTGAATCTGCGATGCGTGCGAGCAACGAACGGTCGAGTCATTCATTAAGTCACACGAACGTGCATTCACTAATACATACGATCATACTTATGTATATTCCTATTTACGTATACATGCATATGTATGCTGATACCCTATTAGTATCCTATGTAGAATACGTGTATATGTATGTGTATATACGTATCTGTGATTCCTACGTGCATACATATATTCTTAAGTATGTGTAATTCCTATCTGTATAAATGCACGTATTTTTATGCATACGAGAAGTATGTTTATAGATATGTGAATACGTGTAAGGAATTTATATACATATATATGTGACGTGCATATGAGTATTTATTTATACTATTGGTTAACATTTTCAAATTACTCTTTTAATTTTAGAAAAACAAGTGATTTTGAAAGAAACATTAGATGCTTTTAGAGCAACCAAATTAGAATTATGTTTTACATTTTGTATTATTTTTATGATCGAGTGACACGTATTTTTCAATTGTTCAATCATCAAATAAAAACATCGTCTGTATCTTTAATGACACTCTGATATATTCTAATCAACCTGGTAATTAATTATCCGATTATTTCTAATCGAATTATTTTTTCATGTTTATTATAAAAATTGTTTAAAAATTGTCTTTAATATAAGAAAATTCATTCGACAAAATTTCCTTCAATTATAACAAAAATAATGCTGAAAATCTTGTAAAAGATAATTCAACTTGGTAATAGTTTATAATAATAATAATGATAACGATAAATCGTTGTTAATTTTATCGGTGTATTAGATTTTAATGGAAATTAGTGAACGATTTCAAACTTTAAGTTGATAGTGTATGTTGTACTGGTGTTAGTGTTTGCAGTATGGTTGTAGAAGTAGAAATAGGGGTAGGGATAGTGTTGGTGATGGTGATAGTGATGTTATTGGTGCATGTAATGGTGGTAGTAGGAGTGATATTGCTGGTATATGGAATTGGTAGTAGTGGTAATAATGTTGGTGTTGGTAGTGTTCTGGCTTGGTGCCTCATTTATCGTCGATTAATCAACGAGTTCCCGACTCTTCTCTTCCTGATCTCTCTCTAAGCAAAAAGGCGGAAAAAAGGAGGAGGAAAAAAGGCTGAGGGAGAAGATATATGTATGCTCGGAATGAGGAGAGGAAGGAAACTTTTGCAGTAGTATCGCGAATCTTCCTCAATGCTACCCATTCATGGTATACACGACCTTCTTCTTCTTCATCATCTTCTTCATCTTCTTCATCATTTTCTTTATCTTCTTTTTCTACTTCTTCTTCGTCTTTGATTTTCTTCTCGTTCTTCTCTTCTTTAGAAAGAAGAACGCTTTTTTCTTACAAGTTTTTCTTCTTCTTCTTCTTTTATTTTAAATAAAATTCTAATCCTTTAATTTATCCTAATCTACGTTTAGAAATAAGATGAATTGAATAAACGCGTAATGTTAATATAATAATATGTTTTTGAGACGAAGTGACGAGTCACGAAAATGAATACGCAATGATTCATCAAGTTATAATAGATATTGAGAGAATGATTACGATAATTTTAGATTTTAATTTATTTATTGAAATATTATGTGAATATTAGGGGGAGATATTTATTAATTGTTAATATTTTAAATTTGAAAAATAATTTATAACTATCGCGTAATTCTAATGCTATAATGCGATTGTTGAATTATTACGAATTATCCAACAAATGAATTATTTTGATTGTTTCATTTATTATTAGATCGATTTATCAATCATCGATTCGTATTACGTGTTTTAATATAACTCCTCTAAATGTTTATTAATAATTAAATAAATAAATGAAAGCCAACGAATAATATATATATAAATGTAAATATAAATTTTAATAAAACAATTAATACAATTAATTTTGTTCGTTATAAAAATATTACGACAAATATTAAATAAATATTAATCAAATTAATTGATTATTTTATTTGTATGTATACGCAAAATAAGATTCATATTCTTCGAAATAATATAACGATGTGATTTTGTATGCAAAAATACAAAAACAAACATAAGCGCAGGAAGCCATAAACGAAATGTCAGGCGTCAATCGATATTAGTGATGGAAAGACCGACCCTTTGCAGAGACGAATTAATATTTCAATAGATAGCGAAAACGACAGCAGACGTGCGTATATATATACGCCCATTTGTATGTGTCTATGTGTCAGAGTGTATGCGTAAGTGTATAATTCATTTGTCAGACGATGCTGAGTCTCTTTATTTACACATAAATAAAACTATTGAAAGTGATTCGTTTTAATAGGAATTTGTTACACGAAATGTTCAGACATATATGTATATACACACACGCACACATTTATATACATATATATGATACGAACTTTCAAGAAAAGATGATGCATGATCAGAAGATGGCGAAGGAAATATTGATGAGATAAAAAGAAAGAAAGTGAGAGAGAGAGAGAGAGAGAGAAAAGGGGAAGAGAAACCACGTGATTAATTTCATTTCATCCCTGGGAAGCTTTTGTAATTGGAAAAGGGTCTTTGGGAATTTTCGAAGGATCCAGGTGAAATCTACGAATCAAAGGATCTGTGATTGGGGCGTTGATTTTCAGAAAGACAAAAGAAAAAGTGAAGACAAATTACCCTTATTTTTTTCTTCATTCGGGACTACCGTGACGTGACGATATATACAGTTTATTTGTTTGTTTGTTAATAATAATCATCATCTATGTTTGTAATAATAGTCAAGGAATTCGTCAAAATTCTATTTTATTACATTTAAACATTTTGTCGAATAGTTTTGTATATTGAAAGTTTTTTGTTTTTTTTTTCGTGAAAATTAAATTATACACAGATCGTGTTTATTATATCTTTCTTTTTTTTTTTTTCTTATTTAGTTGTTTTTAATTATTTCAAATTTTATTATTTCTATACGTGCGCATTCAATTCAATATAAAATTTTGAAACAAATTATTCCGTTTTAATAAATACAATATATCAATTTAATGCAATATAACGTAACTTTGTAATAAAAAAATATAACATAAAAGTATTTCCCATTCTCCTCCCATCCAAAAGAAACGTGGAGAAGAAAGAAAAAAAAAACTATATGTTATTTAAATCTATCTATATATTTGTTACTTTATCAAACATTGTTTTTTTAAATTTATTATAAATCCTATATCATTTTTATATTTAATATATGTATACCATTTTATATTATTATTTATTTCGATTCTTTAAAAAATGATTGAAATTTTATCATCTCTCTACGCGTGTAAAACGCACGTACACATATTTTTATAGAATGTATTTTAATACAAGTTACTTCCATTTTAACAAATATTAATACATTCTCTCATATAATTTAATATAAAATAATTCTATAGTAAAAGAGAGAGATAGAGAGAGAGAGAGAAAGACAATGAAATCAAATATACGTCATTTATCACCGTATATATATCATTTTAACTGTACGATTTTTAACTAAAAATTCATAAAATCATATACATATATAACTTGAACATTTATTTCAAATTCTATTATTTATTTCTTCATTATACAAAAATCAAAGACAATGAAAACGTTTATATCATTTCTCTCTCTCTCT